AAATTTCAACTTCCAGTCGAAACTGAAATTTTTTGAGAAAATGCCATGATAGTTGCAAGTGAAAAATTTTGATTTGGATTGACATTAAACAGCTTTTAAATATTGGGAATTATTAAAGTGAGTACGGTAACTTTAGACGGAATGAAATTAATCGAGACACGACTGCTCAAAGTTGATTTATAATTTTAACATAAAATTGACATGTAATCTCTGGTTAGTTACAACTTCTTTCACCATCATTAAGGAATATAAATGAAAGTGTTTCATATGAAAAGCAACTTAACAGGCAAATATATTATGAGTCGGCACCTTCTGACTAAAAGGGTCAAAAATAGTCGAAACAGAGCCTGCCAAGTTAATTATTAATTTTAACATAAAATTGACACATAATTGCTGGTCACAACTTTCTCCAGCTTCCTCCACCAAATTAATCCATTGCCAATTCGTAATCATAACCTGATATTTTTTGATATAGCCAATTATATTATTTTCGTTATCACACACCTGAAGCGCGAACCTATTGGCTCAGTCAGCAATCCGCAAGTCAAACTCGTTTGGTACTCACTAGAATAATATCGAGAATCTGTTTCAAGTCCTCCTGAATCAAGTTTTAATAAATTCGCAGCAACGTGGTCTGCCTCAACAAGTAAAAACATCCAATTAAAAATGTATCCTACAGACCGGAAATTGAAATTTAGTCGTCATGGCTACCCTCCTTGTTGCCACCAAGCGGCTCGTGTGTTATCGGCGTGTCATGTTAATTTGATAGTTAACATTCCAATTAAGGGTCAGTATTACATGTTTTTAAATGTACTGCATAAAAAGTAGATACCCGAGTAATATCATACAAATTAAAATTCTGAAAAATGTTCTTGCGGTCAGGGGTCAATCGTTCAAAGGTCATAGACTCGTATGTTCTCTATTGTCACCTAGTGTATATCACGAAAATTTTTGCTCTTCGAGACGGCGTGTAGAACTGCGGTGTCTAGTTCTTGTGTCCTATTGATGACTAATAGTTATGGACTAGTCACAATCACAAACTCATATCTGAGAATTGTTGAATGGCACCTAGGCCGTAGGGTGGTCGCCCACGGTTAACTGAACCATCAAGTCTAATTTTTTTCCTACTTTGTCCTCCACCTCACAGAATATTCAATTCCAGGGCATCTTCTGGAAATTCGGGTCGCCTCGACTTTTATTCCTTTTGCTTATTTTATGTTATTATTAATTCCTGTCGCTGCTCCAGCCATCACCAGTCCTGGTTTTCGTGACCCCAAAATATCAGTCCCGCCGCTTCTAAAATTCTGTATTCATTAGTGCAACGCTGCCCAAACTTTTTGGGCGGCGGACACCTGTTTGTGAACCCCAGTTTTCATGGAACACCATCCTATGTTGTATTAATTTCTTTGCCTTAAACAACAAAAACGCTTCCCAAACTTTTTGGGCCATGGACACCTGTTTGTGAACCCTAGTTTTAGTGGAACCCCATCCTTTGTCGTATTAATTTCTTTGCCTAAACAACAAAGAAGGATAATATTTTATTTACAACACAAACGATATTAATGTGATGAATGAGGTTACTTTTCACTGCACAATTTATCAATTCTCAGGGCAATTTGTGACAAGCAAACTTGTAGGTCGGACTCTACAGCAAGTCTCGACCTGTATTTTGTCATCATATTGGTAAGAGCTGAAAAAATAGTCGTTGCAAAAAGCAATGAAATTTTAATTACCTCGTTCTCTAACGGCAATGGCTATTCATCCACAACACTCAACCAAAAAATGCAAAGGACCCCCACGGGTCAGCGGACCCCAGTTTGGGAAACCCCGCATTGGTGCATTTTATGTATGTTAGAAAAATAAACTAACGATTACTGATTTCAAGTGCTGGTTCACTAGTCAATAATGCGAAGTTGGATGCCTAACAAGACTTGGGATTCGTCTTTCACATATATTTAAAGGGGTGAATAAAAGAAAATGATTCTATTAGCTCCTTTCTAAAGACCAGACCATGTAAATAGACAACCGATAAAACTCCCGAGATGCATGGTCGTAGTTTATGGGACGATCCCATTAACCACCCTACTAGTTGAATTCAGTCCCGGTCTATCACACTGATCATTTATTATACAGATGTTACTACAAATAAACAAAAGATCACACAGAATTTGAAATATAATCAAAACAAACATTTTTTGACTGGAGGGACCTAATAGATTATACAGGCCAAATGGTATACTGGGCTTCATGTTGCTAATTTAATTTTGTATCATAAAGTTATTGGAAATAAATATTCCACTCTCACAATAATCAAAATAACATATAAAGCAAAAGTCAATGCATTTAATTACAGGAATCAAAGTCAATTTCAATAATGACTTGATATCACGAGTTACCATTCTATTCATTTCAAACAGGTAAAACAATAAGACTGATTGGGAGTTAGGACAGCTCGTTATATCTGCGATGTCATACTCAAAATTCGAAAAAGGAAAAGATGAGAGATTATATCCACTCGACCAATCTGTTAGCGTTGAAAATATTATATTGTTTTTTCTCATCCAAAGATTGCTGTCAATAATGAGCTGTAGATGAATCAGTTTTGAGACACAAACAGCATATTTAGCTTCATCAAATTATACTTTAATGTATAAAAGATGTATATTGAACCGAAACATAACATGGAGTTTTCTCCTAAAGTATGAATTATTGTACATATATAGATATATATTTCATTTCACATTAGTGACAGAAACCATTGAAAAGGTTTAACAACAAATGCAATTTGATGAAGAAAACAAGAAATATTTTTTCTTTGGCAAAAGAATCAAAATAAAGTCTATTACTCCATAAGCTTCTTAGTACTCCTGTAGTATGTGTACCAGGTTAGGGTTAGGTCATAATTTTATTCCAATTTACCTTGCCGATATTTTAGTTTTATTACGAGTTCGAAGACTGTCTGTGTTAGCCAAGTTGATATTACCCTGTCGATGGGTTTCAGTCGTTTTACACAAATTGATGTAAAGTAGGCAAACAAAATTAGTTACCTCCCTATTGTTACGCACACCTCTCGAGTGCCAGAGAAATGTAATTCTTAGGGCTGGGAATATGAAGGATCACTTGACCGTTCACCTTTTTGATTTTTTTATTCTATTTTGATATTTAGGGAATACATAAATTTTTTTTTAATTCTGTTTTATTATTTTTCATTTTTTTTTATGTTTTGATATTTAGGAAATACATGAAAATTTTCTTTATTTCAGTTTTGTAATTTTTCATTTTTTTTTCTATTTTAAAAGTTAGCAAAATATGTAGAGTTATAAGGAAAAGCTATATACAGTAGGGTTGGATTAGTTGAATTATTTATGCAACTGTTATTTCATTCTAATACAGAAACAGTACAGTGTTGTCAATCACGATAAACAAGAAAAGCTGATTGCAGTGGATAAAAATGTCAAAAGCTGATTTACATAATAAAGAAATTTACAATAAGCATTACAAAACAGATCATTGTAATATGCTACATGTATCACTTATATATAGATTAGAGGAAAAGTGACGCTGGATTTCGGTAAAGTTCTCAGCTACCAATTTTCTTTGGTTGGGAACAAAATGCCGAACCACAAGATAAAGCAAGATTCAAAATCAATCACCCAATTCTAAAAGTTATTTATTCCAAACCTGCTTAGCATTTTTTCATAACTTGTTGTGGGTTTGCTAACATGTCGTGATATCTAAACTTCATAGGGATTTCTCAAAATACACAAAATTAGTAGATATCAGTAGTTGACAAAAACATACGAGGAAAAGGTAGAATGCATTTCACATAAAAAATTTGAACATTGGTTATTTAAAAAGAGTTACTATTAGGGTAATACATGTCCCTTGCCTTCTTTTTTTTACAATAGCAGTTGTAATATTTATTTCAAGGTCAATTAAAATCAGTGAGACAACAAACATAATTCAAAAAAAGGATTTTTATAAGTGAAGGCAATCACAGAAATCCCTGAAAGGTATAAACTTGGGACTTCCTATGATGTAATGCTACTCATAAAGATCTCAAATATACAGAAAATAATGCTGCAAATTTTGATACAGAGCACTGAACAATGGGGGCTCCCGAAGTATGCGAACCAAGATGGCGGACATTGGAATGTAATATGTGTACTAGGTTAGGGTTAGGCCATAATTTTAGGTATAAATACCTTGGCTAGTCTTCGAACTGATAATAGGACTAAAATAAGGAAAATTGGAAAAAAAGTATCGCCTAACCCTAACTTGTTACACATGTTACGTTCCGATGTCCGCCATCTTGGTTCGCATACTTCGGGAGCACCGAACAATGAATTAATATAAAAATGATGCAATGATTTTTGCTTGGATTAAGAAAATGATGTGATAAAAACTTTTTAAAGTCATGTCAAGAATAACAAAACAATAAAAATTCAATGATGGTATTATTTCTCAAACACAAATTTTTTCAATTCCGTCAACTATTTGAATATGAAAAAAATGCGGTACTCTCGAAGAAGGTTAGGCTATAATTTTCCTTATTTTATTTCTATTACGAGTTCGGGGACTATCTGTATTGGCCAAGTGAACATCCCCCCTGCTCATAGGTTTCAGCCCCTTTACACAACTTGATGTAAGTAAAATAAGCAAATAAAATTAGTTACCCCCATATTGGTACACACATTTCTGGAGCACCGGTAATAATGCTACAAACTTCAATACATAAGCATGAAACAAAAAATTATGCATTGAGTAATTCTACACTAGAAGTCTTTATAGTCTTGTGAGGTTTTGACACTTCATTGGTCATTTGTAACTATGCTCATAGAGTAATTGAATTTCTGAGTAAAATTTTCTCAAAGAGTAATCAAATTTCTGAGTAAAATTTCATGTGTAAGAAACTTATATTTTTTTTGTTTTTTTATTTTTTAATATTTTTTTTTTGAGTTTTTGAGGCTTTTTTTTTATATTTTAAAAATCAGCAAATATACAAAGTTGCAAAGAAAACTTATATACAGTAAAAATAATTAGGGCGATTCAAATGAAGCGAGATTGAGAACAGCAGTTGTCAATCATGAGAAAAACATGACACAAATATTGAAAGTCGACATACTATAAAAATTTCAACTACATATTAACTTCTAAATCTGGCCAACATAAAAACAATACACATATTAAATATATTGGACTGAAGTTCTGGAAAAGCTCAAAGTGAGTTTGTTGCAGTTAACTAAAATAGTACATTAAAGAATAAAGCATTAATGCAGCACGAAATTTTCAAAAAGAATAAGGAAAAATAATCAAAAATTTCTAGAAATACAAGGAAACATACAAATCAGGATTTGGTGTAGAATTTCACAAAATGCTCTGATTTATTAAATATGACGTTTTTTTTTAACAGATTGTAATGGCTACCCTAAACACTCATCCTGCCATGGTTATTGGCTACCCAGATACATATCATGCTACCAGGGTTTCCCCTGTATGTTCAAGAGGTCAAATCTTGAGAGGGATGACTGAAATCTTTGCTGAAGAGTGGTGACCAAGAGTCCGTTACTATGTTCAGGGCCGGTGATAGGATCTGTGGGGCCCAATTAGAAATCTGATGACAGGGCCCCTACTCTTTATAGTAGATGTAGTAGTAGTTATTTATAGATGTTTGGTATAAAATAAATTTAAGGTAATGTGGATGCCTTTATTGTTTTTTCCGCAAATGCGGTAAACATTTATATCGAGGATATTAATTAAATGGTAAATAAATTGTTCAATGAATACGGCGGGATATTAAGAGCGCTAAATCGGGTATGTCACGTATATCTGGACCTGTATAGCAGGGAAGGCCGTTTCCAATCAGCGTTCATGTGAACTACTCGTAGATTTTATCGTACATAATTCATTCGAAAAGCTAATTTATTCAGAACTTGTTGACTTTATTTACTAGGTTTTTCTTTTCACATCATCTTTTTGTTCAAAATTTCCTTCGATTACCTTGAAAAATAGTGGAGACACAACTTGTTATTTGGCTGTCTGACATTATCGCAGTCTCAGTTTTCGAGTCAGCGTAATGCTAACCTTATGGGAGGAAAAATGGCCTTACGGGCGGTACTAAAATTTCACTCAGATTTATCTACTAGTATAGTTTTTGTTCAAATCGGATAAACTTTAATTTTTTGTAGCACATCTAATAATACAGAAAAAAGACCCCCAGTAGAGCGGGCCCAATTTGATGAAATCAGCCTAAAACCGGCCCTAACTATGTTTCCACAATCCAAGTCTATGCAAAGTCAGGATTTCACGCAAAAAAAATAGAACATTTCTGCCTAAATTCTACAATTACTGAACAATTGACTATCCAGGGAACAGTCTTTAAGAGTTAATATTCAATCCCTTTACCACATGTGCATAACGCGTTGCAGCATTAAGGTATGAACCGCAGGCTCATTCGGCATTCAGTCTGAGATTATTGGAGAAATTTAATGTTGAATATACGACAGTAACAGTATGCGACATGTTGATGAAACATTCGTATCTTAGCAATGTCTTTAGAATGTGTTCAGTCTGGGAAATGTTTAATCTTTTGAGGTAGTTTTCAGCCAAGATCATCGGAATCTGAAAAATAATAGTTTATTAAGATGACCCTGAAAGCTGTCCTCAGTGGAGGATATCATACCAATTTTTTATGTGATATTTGAATAAGGCATCAAACAAAAAACAATCACAAATCGTGAATATCGTTTGTTAAAAATAAACTTGCAGAAAGACCAGGTTAAATTCCTGCAAACATATTAATATTTCAGGGGTAATTGATCGTCCACAAATATGTAAAGACCACGTACAACGAAAATAGAAATTCAGAAAACGTAAATGAGTTATTGTTTTGTCTAATATGCCTCCAAGAAATATTTTGGAATATAAAAGACTTATTAGGAATATAAAATGCAAGAAATCAAGTTTGCGAAGCCGAACAAATGCTTTAACCCTTTCCGTGCGGTGGGCACGTATACGTACCCACGACAAAACTCGCTAGTTTGCGGCGGGTACGTTGATGTACTCCACTGTTTTATTTAGCAATCGGTCGCAAACTGTTGGTCTAGTTTTTCCGGGTTTTAGTTTATTGATAAGAAGTCTTCTTCGAGATTAACATAAGCGACGGTAAATCTCGCTTTCGTTTACCATGAGAATTTTATTTGCGGCGGAACGAGGGAGTGTTTTTGAAATTTATGCAAATTTCGGTGTTTTTTGGGTGGTAATAGAAGACATATTATCCCTTCCATCTACCAAAGTATTTTGAGTTAGATAACGAAATTGCTACAGCAATATTATGCTATTGTTTGCCAACCAAGAAGCGGTAACAGTAAAGGATTTAGCGAATATTTCTATTTTTTATCACGGTTTGAAGTTTCAACACCCAAGAAATAAAAATTCCTTTTCTCTATCCGGTTTGTGACTCAGACCACCCCTTTTGAAAAAAAAAAATTTTCAATCGCCAATTGCAAGCTCTTTAAATAAGCTTTCCAACGAGCCGTCAGTGGGCAGCAGAGGATCATTACTTTTTCGTTAGTCGATCGATTAGTTGTGGGGGTACAAATGCATAAAGCCGGCGTAGCAAATACGATTATTTAATAAAAAATAAAAATCGCATGGAAAGGGTTAATTATTGGTATTTCACGTACCGTCATCACCTTCATGTTGTTGTAATGGTTCATTCTGTTGTGGTTCTATTGCTTGGTTGCCACCTACTGCACCAACTTCTTCTTGTTCATTTTGCCCCTTTAAGAGAATTTCATTTTTACTATCTGGCACATTTTTACCTTTATTACCTCTTGTCAAAATGCAGACTAATATTATTCAATTTTAGGGTTTAAATATTCTATGTGGGATAGTGGTAGAAAATCCCATATGATATTTCTATTGGGATAATAATTTCCTGCTAAAGCAAAGTTTCAATATGCATTGTAACATCACATTTTGGGGCTCAGTATTAACATGAAATAGGACAAGATTTACATATTTATCTCGGAAGACAGGTAAGACGATAAGACAGCATTATCATATAGTGAACCACGGCTTCTCATCCGGTTAGCCAATTATTCTGAGTGCATGGACTTGATGGTGGAGGAAGCTATACCCAACCAGCGTTTACGTGAACCACCCTACAACGCAAAAGATTCTATCAATCCTCTCGCACATAATTTTCACCCACAGGAAACGCACCTGCAAACCCACACAGAGTAATCAGGGGTGTGGTGGCGAGTGTATTCATAACACTTAGCACAATACACCACACCACCGAACCTACAACTGTCTATTACTTCTTGTAAGGTACATAGTGAATACTTTAAAAAATAATTATAGAAAGTTGAGAATAAATATTAATCAAATCTTACTATTTGCTGATTGTTCTGATTTCCTCTGTCCGGTAGATGCACATTCCCAACATTTGCTCCAGCAAGGTTGATAGGTGTAATTACTCTGCGATCAACAAGATGGATAGATAGGTGGAGGTCCTCTGCGTTCTATAAATATAAATAAGATGTATAATGTACGAGATATTCATTTAGAATCAAACTAAAGATATATAAAAATGTCTATATAATGTCTACTGAAAGTGTGATGTATCTCGCTAATGCTACTTACAGATGTATATGTTATTGGTAAGCAAGTGCTCAAGATAATATGCAGCTAATGTGTGACGTTCCTTAAGACTTCAATATGCAGAAATATTAAATAGAAAATTCAGATAATAAACATTAACTTTACATAATACGAGGGTGCTAGCGAGGATGATATTGCATTCGTTTCCCTTTCAGTAATTATTCATAACTAGCTCTCGTATGAAACAATGAAGAGTGAACAACATGATATGGCTACCTGCTGTGCCTCTGAGATATAGATATATGTGTGAATTATCCACTAGTGTCATGAATTACTCACCTTTTGGTTTTAATGGAAAATTAAAATCACGATTGCAAAATTCGGGTTCATCACCTTCCTTAACCATCTCATATCTGATATTACGTTGAGGATATTCGTCCAGAGGGGGGAGAAGACGGAACATGTATTCATTTCTTTGCTTTGTCATGAATTTTTTGTTTGCCAGGAAGGTATGGCCATCAGGAAAGTCGAAATGTAAATTTTCTGGTCCACGGTCAATTTGGAGTTTTATGCGTATATTGTCTCCAGTTTGTAACAGGATTTGGGGGAGATGAATAGGAGCAAGTTGTGCCCCTAGGTCTTTATAATAATGTCTAACAAGGTTCTGAACAGTCTCAGAAGATGAAAAAAATGCAAAATGAAATTGGTTATTGTTTAGGATATAGAGACGATGTTCCATAAGAAGCTCAACTGTTCCAAATAGCAACCACCTGATGATGGCCATAACTCGACTGAACCTCCTGCATCGAAATTCTATGCTGTTATTCTCTGTGATTCGGTCGGGATTTATAATGTCCCAGTCAGTTTTACTTGAAAAATGTAGTATGTCAATTTTGTCTTTTTCTAGACCAACACACCACGACTGGATTTGCACTATCGCATCTCTGAGGAATTCAGAATCTGCACTGATATTAAAAGCTGGTGTGATACCAATGTATTCTTCAGGGCATATTGAATTGTCTATTTCAACCGACATCCAGACTTTCGTTTGTTTGTTGAATGTTCCACGAGGAAACGTGACTTTGCATTCGTTCAGCCTCATAGAGCCACCGGCAACTTCAACGTTTTCCACTAAAAAAAAGTAGATTTGTTGCAACAAATGTTTACTAATTCGGTGCTTCTCAAACTAGGCCAAGACACCTATTCAACTTAAATGTTTAGATTAGATGATGTTAGATTTTGAGAGTATAGGTAAAAAAAGTCTGAAAAAGGTGATGTTAATTACTGAAATAAACACAAAAACTTAGGAAGTGGGCACATAGACCACAAATATAAGCAGACTTATATTTCTCACTATCCCCCAAACATTTCGAAAGTTTTTGTTAACACCGGCTGTCCCAGGAAACATTTTTTATGCATATCATGATTACACTCAAAAAATCAGTATCACTTGTGCTGAGATAAAAGTTTTGACTTTTTCCCGTTCCAAATTTCATATCCGATGAAATAAGTTATCCATGCTAAGAATATGAAATTGACCTGACATATTAAAATTAGATTGCTTATTTGACCACAGGTCTCATTAAAGAATAGAAAAGAAAATAGTCCTCTAAATCAGGACTACTCAACCAAAGACCCGTATGTCAAAATTTGAAGTTACTGGGACCCGATATTTCCAAAAGACATTTTACAGTGTACCCAAATATATTCCAGTGCCTCCAATTTTAAAATTGAAAAAATTGAAGTAATCGCAAAATATTTGTAATCCTTCCATGCGCATTGTAGTTCTCGATTCATGATTATTTGCTATTCAAGATAATGCTATTCTTTGGTGTCTCAGGATGTCACAGTTGTTTTCGTATTAAGTTGGGTGCAAATAATGGGAAAAAACTAACTAAAGGTATTTTATAGAAGGAAATCTTCACATATCCAAAGTTAATTGGGCCTAAATGAATACTCAAAAGGTCAATGATCGGAACGCGGACCACCAGTAATCATGCTGTAAATAATAAATTATGTGGGTTGCCGTACTCTTTGTCACTTCGGAAACTTGAGTCATGAGCAAAGTAAAGTCCTGGGACATCAAATTCCTGATTCAAGTCAGAGTTCTGCTAAGTTTCAAAGTTTGAGTTTCAAGCCAAAACTCTGTCACTAGTCAAGTTGCTGAAGTTTCGAATCACAAGCTGAGTTGTGTCACAGGAGCTTTCATAAAATACCGCAAAATAGGTGAACTGTGTAATACAATGATTCTTCTATTTTTGTCAAGTCAAAGTTATTTTGAAAGTTGAACTAGGATTTAATGATGTATTTACAACACTAATGTAATCATGAAAAGGCTTACTTTGAATTGTTACTACAAAAAGCTAGTAAATTTGTACCGTAAATTTACCATTTCTAACGCAACATTGGCATGCATACCAATTGCTATTCCAGAGATTTTAATCTCATTATTTATGATTCAAAAGTAAAGTTTTTATGGCTGTTAGTCGAGTTCGAATCAGTGAGTTGCTCGAGTCTCCCCGACAATGCTACCATAGCCCACAGATGACCAATTGATATATTATAGGAAAAACGCTGTTGGACGCAAATTGCACCCATCAGTTTTTAAAATGAAAATGCCATTTTCTAATATTGATGGTGGCCACCACTGCAAAAATAAACTCACCGGCTATTTATTGAGACAATATACAAGTTAAATTATAAGGTTACCATTTCCATTAATGACTAATGGTTGTAACTTACATTTTAAATTTACATAATACTGGAAATTTACCTTTTATAACATTCTTGGACTGTGTTTTGATGCAGGAGTTACCCCATTCATCCTTGGCCCAGACTTGGAAACGATATCTTTTACCAAGTATAGGTGACTTCATTCTATACTGAGAAACCTCTGTAGTGTGAGTCTCTCCAAGTTTCACATCATCACAGAGGATTTCTACGTTGTATAGAACGTTGCTGTCAGGTACTTCATTCCAAGTCAAAAGAATGTCGGATCCGCTTCTTTGAGAGGAAACATTTTCAATTTGTGACAAATCTAAAAATAAAATAGTGAGTTAGTAAATATAGGGATCAAGTTACATGAATGAGACATTCGATAGGAATTCGCTGACAATAATTTTGATTTTCATGAAAGTTTAGGTAATTGTGACATTACGCCTGCTCTTCTGTGAGCATATTATTTAAAACCAATGTCTGCTCTGATTTTATATAATAAAATCAAATTTTCTTCTCAAAAAGTACAGTCACTGCGGTAACTACAGTCAAACTCATTAGCGAAGAATTTTAATTGTAAAATATTCAATCAATATTAATGAATACAAATGTATTTTATCTGATTTCTGCATTAGTCTGGAAGTGAAGTTTACATAGCAAAGGTTGTTCTAAAATTTTGAGCATTTACCAAAACATGAATTCGAACCATATGCTTCACAAAAGCATTTTTATGAAGCATAAATATATATATAACCTGCTATTGCAATAATTCTGTTCTAGATTCCTTAATTTCCCATAAATCATTAGTTTCATATTACATAAATTACACTCTAAAATCGAAATTTATGTCAAGTTTTACATGTTTAAAAAATTAACTTTATTTACATTTATGTTCTCGCAAAATGCCCAACTACTTTCGATTTTGTACTTCAGAGTGGTCCAAACATGCAAAGTTTAAAGACGCAAAAAATTTATACGAGGCCTCGTAGGTCGCAGTCGAGAAAAATCCAGAATTGATGGAAACACCAAGAGTTTACTTACGTCAAATATATTAAAGAGTGATAATTTACTGTTCTAATTAGCTCTCTGTTATGTTGCATGGGTGGTGTTTTTTTTATTTGAAGCAAGATATATGAAGCGTTTAGTTTTCCTTTGGTTCTTTCAAAATTAGAACAACCAAGACAAGTCTGCACAAGACAATTCATTTCTCTTGACTCCCCCATCCCGTATCAGTAATGGCCTCTCGACATGTGATAGTACCCATCACAGAATGTCCATATCGACACCGGCTTGATGTTTATAGATTCAAATATCATTACCAACATTGGGATTATGAAAAGGGTTCAAATCTTGGGATCCCAATCCCAGATGGAATAGCTTAAAGCTAAAAAAAGTTCTTCCAATAAGTGTACCTAAGTTTATTTCGACTCCATAATCAGCAATAGACGATAAAATAATTGATATAAACAAAATGTATAAAACTGATTATAGAATCGGAAAAGCAAACAAAACCTCAAATAAGGTTTGAAGCGTACAGATTTTAGGTGGGAATGTATTGATAAAAGAAGTAGTACGTGTTCGCTGACCTACATACAAACATCTGCTGATGTTTTAATCACTGAAATTGTACTGGGGACGCACGAAATGTGTCACAACAGGGTTTGGACCACCCTGTTATACTTAATTAAACGCAATCACACACATAATACATGAACCATATTGCTCATAATATTTAAGTTTATGGACATGTGGCAGACTTACAATATCGAGACAGTTTATCTTCTTGTTGAATTTCTTCTACGTCAGATGAGGCGATTTTGCTTCTAAAAACAAAGTTTATGTACATAAGAAAACAAAGTAAATTTTCTTGGCTGGATTTCATTTTGTTGACAAAGATTGTCACGTTTATCACTTAAAATCACTCAAAATTAGATAACGGGATTTCAAAGCCCAAAATATTGGTTGAAAAGTCGGATTTGTCTATCATGCTAAGATATGGAAATCCACTAGGAGTTTATGAGTAGATTAACCGAGCAGTGCCTAAGAACAAGATACTTTTACTGCCATAATGAGGTTCAGACTAAGAATCTCAGATCCTAGTCTTTGTATGTGATGAAAATTCAATCCTAATTATCATTTCAATTAGGGTGACGTAAAAATTATGAGCAAAATGTTTTTCAC